AAAGAGTTCGGGGATGAAAGGCCGCAGTCGTGTCGCTCCCTTTGCTGCTATTCACCGTACAGGTCCCTTTTGCCAGCTCCCGCAAGCTCCCCTTTCCTTCTTCCGCGCTCTCCCTTTCCCTTCTCCTTTTCCCCCAAAGGTCTCATTGAGTCTCATGCGAGCCAAGTCTGGTTTGAATCAATGTCCTTCCTAGAAAGCGCTTCCCACTACTGCCTAGTGCTTAAGCCAGTAAAGAAGCTAATGACAAATATCCATGAAAAAGTGCTCTAGGTATTTCTGAATATTAGAGCCACAGCAACGATGCCTCTGGCTCCCCGTTGTCGGTTTGTAATGCCTGTCACCGGAGCAGCTCGGGGCACTTAGCACGGCATTTCCCTGCGGCTACTTGGGATTATTCCCACTGTACAGATGAGGAAGACGGGAGGCAGAGGGGATGCTCCAAGCACAGCCTCTGGCTCTGCCGCCCCTCATGCCGCTGCCTGCGGTGAAGAGGACAAGATCCCCTGTGAGCACAAAGAGGGCTGTGAGGACAGGACACGCCTGGCTGGGGCGGGATGCCCAGCTGCCCCCGGCGCTCGGCGACTTGCGTGGGAGAGCGAGCAGGAGACTTCTTTAGCCAAATAAAATGACAGAGCTGAATAAATGGAGAGCAGATATTTAGTTAAGGAGGCCGGGGTGCTCCCAGAGCGGAAGCTTTGTTCCAGGGCGAGGAGAGGAGGCAGGCGATGGGAGATGCAAGGGAAGAGCAAGTGAGAGCCACGAGGAGGTGAAAAGGATCCTCCGTGCCAGCTGAGGAAGGACTGGTGAGGGAGAGAAGAAACGGCTCTCATGAGGGATGACTGCGGAAAGATAGACGTAAGGCGTGCTTGGGTTTGGGGGATGATGGCAAGGACTTGATTCCTTCTCCATTGTGGAGGGGAGCCTGGCTACGAGGTGGGGAGCAGGGGGTGCATTGATCCTGGCCCCCTCATTGCTCATCTCTCCTACCTGATCACGCTGAGCCGTCAAAAGCCCCATGGAACTCTCAGCAAGCTTGAAGGGAACTGTAGAAATGTTTACATTTTATTGTTCTCTGATTTTTTTTTAATTCTTTTTACCCAGTTTGAGTGCCCTTCTCAGAAACTGATTCATAAAAATGGTAATTAAATTTTAACTAAACAGTTACTCCCTGACCGCTGCCTTGCGGTTTGCAAAGTGACTTCAGCAGACTAATTTTGGAGTAGAATGCTTTGTCCTATGACACGGCACTCCAGTCCGAGCGATTCTCTGTAATTACCTCAGTCCCTGCAGCTCATTACAGTAAAATGTGGTTGCGTCCCATTAATTTCAGCAGGCATTGCGGTGCCCGGACGTGTGCCAAGCACGGCATCTCCCAGAACATTACCGGCTGACAGAGGCATCTCTCACCCTTTTCAGATATCGAAGATATTTGTTCTCTGCCCTCGGTGTAAAATAGTTTGGCGGGAAGTACTGGGAGAGCAATCTAAGCCTTAAAATAGAAAGGCATACCCAAGTGAAGACCTTTCTCAAGGAGGAAAAGCAACTTTTAATTAAAAAGGGGGAGAAGAAGAATTAGCAATCCTCTCCTTTAATACATCAACACGTGGAGTATGTGCAATATGGGTAATAAAACTCTTCCAGGGACACTTTCAAGGTTGACGGATTCCAAATTAAATCCACCTTAAAAGTACTTAGGCGATTTTTGATGCATTGTCACCTTCCCACACGACATGGCAGCTTCTTTCCTGGGTAACACAGGGAAAGCACAAGCTTTGCCTGGAGGAGGAGGATGGAGCCGGGACTAAAATGGTGCGCGCTGGGCTGGGCCTTCGTGCCGCAGCCCAGGCAGCGTGCGTGGGGCCATAGCTCTCCTGTATGCAGAGGTGCCTACGCACGCTCAAACTCATTTTCCTCTGCAGACGATTTCTACCCTAACAGAAAGTGCGAAGGGTACGAGATGTGCACTAGCACAAATCTATTGGGTAGCGTTGCTGGAAAAGAGAATTCACAAACTTCTAAATCCTCAGTGATATTCGCCTTGCAAACAATTTAACAGCCAGTCCTAGTTTTTTCCAATACCAGCTTATGTTCTTTCTGAGATGAGTGTGTCTCGAGAGACTAGGCTTGCTGCTATTTCAGGAGGTCCAGCATCAAAGAAGTGGCTTTTGCTCTTTCCTGCCCACTCTAGGCAGCCCGTAGCATTTACTGCCTTAAATCCCACACGCCGGGCTTCCACTTCCAGCAGCTTTCCTGCCTGCCAGCGCTGTGACTCAGCCCGGCAGAGTGGGTTAGCGACCCGCCTCCAGCCGGGCTTTGCTCCGTCCATCCCGGGGCCTCGAGGTGAGAGCGGCTTCTCCTCGCGAGTAGGCTCTTCAGCGTCTTGGGAAAGAAAGTTTTCAGCTACAACTTG